CGGCCTTGTCCAGAACTCTACTTACAGCTATTCCATTAATCTATTTCATGAGCGTGTCTTAATTTATGACTCATCTGCAGTTCGTTAGCTATTCCATTAATCTATTTTTAATTTCTCAATATTTAGTTATTCTATACAGTATACACATGATTCGTGAATGTAGGTATGAGAGATGGTGACGAGAGCTAGAATTTGTGTTTGATCTTTGATTTTTAGTTGGGATTGAGTTAGATTGTGGGAATGTGTAATATTGAGATTATGATGATAATAAGATGGGTGAGACAAGATGTTAGATGTTGAAATTCATTGTTTGAAGACTGATATACTAGTATAAGAGATCGTTTGAGGATATAGGCTCGAATTTAGATTTTATAAATGTTCAGGTATAAGACTGGCACTGAGAATTGATCTTCTACTAGAGGATTATACCAGACGCTCATGATTGGGATATAGACTAGTTTTGAGGATATTGACTTCATTTATGATTTTGAGAATGCAAATTTTATTGACTGGTGGTTGAGGATTAAGATTTGATTTGAATTTGGATTGAACTAAATGTGTACCTCCTACTTTTTAATTTCTTATAGATACAATATATCTTGGATTCAAGTATTTTGATTAGAGTGGAGAGTTTCATATTGAAGTGTTACTGATATACAAGGTTATCGATAGCGGATAGCGTCGCGTAGCGGTGAGGCATCGCTAAGGTTATTTTGGGCTATTGCGGTAAAATAGCGGTAAAAAGCGCAAAGTCAAATAGCGGTTAAATTTAGATATGTATAAATACTAAAAAAAGAAAAATTAAAGAAAAATCTAAGAAATTTAAAAGTACATATTGAATGATTTAAAGAGTTCCTAAACATGAAATAGACATGTAACTATCACGTAATACCAAAAATGATTGGAGGAATCAAAAAGTCGTCGTCTTTGAGAAGAAGAGCTTAGCGGTGACAGGACTGCCCTAAGAGGAGCTCACAGTGAAGGAGGTGAGAGGAAGTATCAAGGTAGGTACCAGAGACTATGAGAGGTGGCAGGAGTATGCTGAAAATCACAGGAGACGATGGAATGCAATGGTCAAGAGTTGAGTTTAATTTTAAAAAAATAAGTCTCAAGCCGCTTTTAAATAGCAGTCAAAAAGCAAATTTCGAATACAATCGCTCACTATTTACCGTTATGACACACTATTGGTCGCTTTTGCGAACAGACATATTTCGCAATATGTCACCGCTATTGCGCGATAGTGTAGCGGGCAATAGCGTCGCGGGAAGGGAGCGTTAACGCTATTAGCGCTGCTATTGTGTGGCTATTTACCGCTATTTGTTACTGATAGTGATATATAAGCTTGTTTTATGATATCAGATATAATTGTGATTTTATAGAAGTTGAGGTTAGGGATTGGTTTTGAGGTTTGATTTTGATTGGATTTATTGAAGGATTGATTTTACTTGTACCTTGATTACCGTATAGACTGCTTTCGAGGATATCATATTAATCTATGATTTTAAGATGAATAATTGATTTTTACCTTTTAGTTTTGGTTTGCTTGGAGATAAAATATATCTTGAGCTCAAATAATTTTTTTATTTGAAGGGAGAGTTTTATATCAAAGTGCGAAAGATGTTATTATTTGTAAATTGAGAGCTGTTTTATTTTGGTTGAGGGTATAGCTGATCGGAATTATTTGAAGGATCAATGTTACCCATAAGTTCATGATTGATATATAAAGTAATTTTGAGGATATTATTGATCTATGTTTCTAAAATTGAGTCATTGATTGGTGATTGAAGGTTGTTATTTGTTTTACATCAAAACTTAGAGTGAATAAGTGACTTCTAGTTACTGTTTGCTTGGAGATACAATATATTTCGGAGTCGGGCTTTTTGATTTGAGAGTTTTAATCTAAGTGTGAAAAGTGTCATTATTTGTATCTTTAAGAGTTGTTTTATTTGGTTTGGGGACATAGTTGATAGGAATTACTCGTAAGTTAGCGATTGATATATAGATTATTTTTGAGAAGATCTGATTAAATTTATGATTTTGAGATTGAGAATTATTGATTGGTATTGAGGGTTGAGATTTAATTTAGATATAAATAGCAAGGAAAAAAGCCCCGCATTTGGCTGCTTAAGTGGTTTGCAAGGCAATAGCGGTGCCTCACCGCTCTGCTTTTGTCGAAAGTGGTCAATGAAAGCGGACATGACACTTTTTGCTAAAAAATACGACAGAAAAATGATAAAAGTGTTGTAAAGTGCTTTAAAGCATTTTAAATCCTTTTAACTGCTTTAAAGAAACAAATACGAATCTATATTATACTTGTCACGAACTCAAATCTGACCCATTTTCTTAAACCCTCCTTTTATCTACCCCCAACCCCTCTCTTCCCCCGCTTCTCCAACTTGAGAAGAAAATAGACCTTTGTGCTAACTCCCGCTCCAGGGCCTTGTCCACGTTCTTTTCCAATTCAAATCCGCTTTTCTACTTAGTTCTTTTTTGCTAATTTTTACTGCTAAAGCCCCAAAAAGCCTAAACAGTGCCTTTCCGCTTCGCTCCGCTTCGCTCCGCTTTCCGCTTTCCACAACCTTGGATATGGACTTAGAAATGAGGAACTTTTAGTTTCTACTTGCTTTGAGATGCAATATATTTTGGATTTAGATATTTTGATTTGATTTGAGAGTTTTTTTTTTAAATCAAGGTGTGAAAGATGTTAAGATTTGTATCTTGAGAGTTGTTTTATTTGGTTTTGGAATGTAGTTATATTTCTGAGTTGTAGACACGTATAATTGATTTTCATTTTATAAACAGAGTTATAAAAGGTTTCCTTGTTTTTAATATTGATGTTGTTAAATAATGGTATTTAATGCTAGTCTAGAGCCGTGTATGTAGCAATGTGACAGTTTGCTCTTTATAGTTGCATTGTCTATCGATTCACTTCCCTTTTCTTAGTTGATGGAAATCAGGATTTATTCAATTTTATGTAGAAACTACATTTCTTTTAATCTACCATCGTAGTAGCGTATAATCCGATGTTATGATCATATATTAATGCCTCTTCATCAGGTATCTCTTATAGCAACTCTTAGGAGGGATTACATGTTGCATTATCATAATGCATAGTGTTGGATTTAATCTAATAAATCTATTTGTGGGCACATATGATTAATCAATGTGTATTGCTATCTTTCAGGATAACCCACTGAAGTGATCAATTAAGTTGGGTTAATGGGTATTTAAATATAATCATGGGGTTATATGTGCAGATACCAGGTTGTAATTGTGATTTATTGAGGGGCTAAATTACAAAAGTACAACATCTATAAATAAGGGGTTATGATCCCTAATCTAGGGTTACTACATTCTCTAATTCTCTTCACCCCCATCTAAGAGAAAAATTCGGCTAAAGAGAAAACCCTAAGGTTAGAAGATCCAAAACCCAAAATCAAGATCAAGCAATGGATTCAGGTATAAGCTTCCGCTCTTTTAGTTTTTTGTTAATCTCTTTGAATTAATCATGGCTATATGGTTTTAGATCTCAAGTTTTATGATATAGATCTAACAAGTGGTATCAGAGACACCTTGATTAATTCTTAGGGATTTAAGTTTTATTGGGTTTTTGATCTTAAATCTCTGGTTAAAGATTCAATTTTTGGGTTCGGATGAACAGTAATGCTCGGTGAACAGTAACGAAAATTTTTTTCGGGTGAAAAGTAAAGTTTTTTCGGGTGAACAGTAACTGAAAATTTTTGGATTTTTCTTTGATTTTTTTTCTTCAATTTTTTCCAATTCTGGATCTGTTTTGAAAATAAAAATCAAAGATTTTTGGGTTTGA